ATACTCACATTACATACATTCCCACGCGTGTAAAATCATCGTTCGCGATTTTGACTAGACATATCACGTTTTTTACTTTTGAAAGACATCGTCCGTTCCATTGATTCGCTAGAACTCACATTGGCGTATGAAAATTTACGACATAGTTTTTCAGTAAGTAAATCTCAGTCTGTCTTTAATAATATGTTTTATCATTTTGACTCAGATTTTGATGAATGCAGCAACGGAAGTCATGACTGCCACGAGAATGCAACATGTGTAAATACCGCTGGACACTTTGAATGCATATGTAACCCAGGGTTTACTGGAGATGGGCGTATATGTGCAGGTAATATTGCGTTTTTTTTCTCAATTTTTTGTTGAAGCAAAGCACATTATCCATTGTTCAGGGTAAGAAATCAATATTCCTATCATTAACTTGCACCCAGACCGACAATTGAAAATACATCGCATAAAAAAATGGTCTCTATACTATTTCTTTAGTATGAAAAATACAAAAAAGATAATGTGAATCAACCGCATTTTGTTCATGAGATAAATACAAAAGGCTGTGACGTCTTGGCGTTACTGTATTCCTAAGTAAGTTCATGAGATTTCTGCCCAAAATAAGGGAGTAAAACATCCCTACTATACTACTTTCGCTCTATCATTGCACATAAGCACATATCGACGTTCTAGTCCAGCAGTATGCAGAATGTTTGTCGCATGAACCTAGTTTATTGGCGTAGCTCAAAGTCTTCTGTAGCTTAGTGAAAGAGCATCTGGACTAGCCAACCTAACGGAGATGGTTTGGAAAAACGAAAGGCTTGAACAAACGGAGGTTTGCTTGCTACTGGCAGTACTCGGATTTTTTCTTCCGAGCCGCTAGTGTCAGTGACTGAAAAAAATCATCTCTCTCAACCTAAATATATGATAGTCTTAATTTGTGCTTACAAATTGCCATATATCCTATATGAACCAGCTGTTTAGGCCATAAAACACAGTTTCAGCTCTTTACTCGCCATGGCTTGCGTTTTTCAACTATGTTGCTTTATCTAAACGTCGTCCCATAAACTTTGCTTTGGAATATGTAGTAACCGGTTTTCTTATGTTTCCACTTTTAATCAAGATTGTGCCATCAATCTGCGCCACTTTCAACAACATCAAGGTTTGCCTACTAAAGGGGCTCATGATGCTCAACATTTTAGTATCAATGGGTGTCTGTTTCTCGCCTTCGCGAACTATTTCGATGACGTTGAACGATGGAGAACAAGCTCTTTTATCTACAAAATGAATCCGTCAACGGATCAGTTTGTTCTTTACCAGACCATAGACATTGTTGGAGCTTTTGACGTTGAGTATTTCAATATTGGTAATAAACATTATTTAGCCATTGCTAGCCACAATGATGGTATCATCTATCGCTTGGATTCTCGTATTTTGCAGTGGAACGGTAACCAGTTTGTCCCTTTCCAAAGTATTGCAACAAACGGGGCAGCATCATTTACGTTTTTTAAGGTAATGGAAGAATCGTTTCTCGCTGTTTCGAACTTTTATAACGATACCTCACACTTTATCAGCTCAATTGTGTACAAGTGGAACATTAACAAGTTTGAAAAATACCAGGAGATACAGACTGAGGGGGCATTATCAGGTGCAGCATTTGAAATACACAACGAAACATTCTTTGTTTTTGGGAACTTCGTTAATGCTAAGCATGGGCACTCCGTCAATTCTACCGTCTATAAATGGTCTGGTGGGTACTTTGCCAAATTCCAGTCACTGGAGTCGTTTGGAGCATGGCACGTGGAATTTTTTAAGAGCAATGGAGATACCTTCCTAGCTTTCGCTAATCATCACAACGGCACTACTTATAACCTCGAATCCTTCATATACAAGTGGAATGGAAGCATGTTTGCGCTGTTTCAATCCATTCCAACGCGTGGAGCCTCTGCGTTGTATCCATTTTTTGTGTGTGGCCAAATGTTCCTTACTGCTGTCAATTTCTACGACGAAAATGTTCAGCGGTATAGTACTACATCAGATGTGTACCAGTTCACTGGCGGCCATTTAATCAAATATCGAGAGATTCCCACCGAAGCGGCTTTAGCTGTAACAGCATTTGAATTTAAAAATCAATTTTATGCTGTTATTATTCGTTATTATAGCCAAATTGATAACAAACACACAAGAAATAGCAAGTTGTTCAAGTGGATCTAAAACGATAAGATGACTTCGGAAACATTTACTTTGTGACTTCATTAAGCTACTCTGGCTCCTTCCATACGTTTCAGTGTCAAGGTGGCGACGAAGTTTTAAAATGCCGTGAATGAAGATGTCAGGGCACAAAAAGACGCTTTAGAAAACCTGAACACACCAAAGAGCATATCAAGAAGGATTCTAACATGTGTTTTGTCGAAAAAACATGAAAATTCTTGAGAGAGAGTGGAATTTGAGAGAGTGGAGTCCTCGATCGATACGATCCACGATAAACTTGTCAAAAATCCACGATTGCTAAAGTAATTCGTCACGGCATGATATTAATAGGTAATCAAATGGCATACTCGTGACAAAACGCGCGTGAAATTATTCCCTAATTTCACTCGTCACCATTTGATTACACATACCTATACGCTATAATTCGTATCGACACTATATATACTAACAATCTGGCTTGATTCCATAATAATGTTAATAACCCTAGATATACCAAACCATACTCACGAGCGGCACATCCCCATCCAAAAATTCCTAAAGTACCCGCCCCCCTGCCCCCCTCCTCCCGGGGCGCCAAGAGTTATTGGCCTTATACAGAAATTCATCAGGGCAAAAGAAATTACTCGTTGAAAGGCAGGAACTAACACTAGTAAGGTGTCGGCTTTAGGGAGGTGCCCAGCGTTTAAGAGCGATCTAAATTAATACTCTAACTTGATATAAATAAACATACTAACTTGTAACACGGCCTATCGCCCTCTATCCATCTTATCGACCAAATGTTTCCAAATTCGTCAGAAGTGTCTCAGTTGACTTTTGTTATGCTTAAGAGGCCAGTTTAGCTTATTTGGAGCTGCCCTAAAAACTATTTAATATCTGCTTTTATCTCTTTGGTCGTCTCCGGAATATTCAAGCGACTTTTTTTTCTCATCCGAAGGTATTACCTGCCCTGATGGGTGCGCTGTCAAAAGTTCGAGAACATGGAGTATCCGCACTTTCATAAGACAAATGTAAAGAAGGTTTTTGGGAGTAATAACGAAATTTAAAGGATTCCCTGTTCAGTCTTTTTAACAATAATCGCAATATCTTGGTTATAAAATGTGCGCCGAAAAAACAAAACCTCATAAAATTTTACATAAGTTAGTCGAAAAACTGAGAATATCTTAAACGAATGGAACCGCGTTATACAGAAATTTTGACTTTTCTCGAGCTTCAGACTGATTTCTAGGCAAAATTTGCTCCTTCGAGGAGTTATTTTACAGAAGAAAATTTATAATGTCCCAGCTTTTTGTTACCATGACTCTGTGATGCACTATGAACTGCAATGTTATGAAAATCCCATGAAAATGTCATTAAAAACCTAGGAACGCACTTTTCATGGCCCTGAATTCAGATATTTTATTTTCATGGCCTATGTTTCAGGCCATGAATTTTCCATGAAAAGTTGATAATGGTTTTCATGGCTGAAATTGCCATGAAATACTGATTTGGCACTAGGGTTCATGAGCCACGAAAAGTTGGTGTGTTATAGCTTTCATGGGCCATGAAAATTACACTCAGAGATTTCAGGGGTCGTGAAAAATGAGAAATGATAATTTCGATTTCATGGTTCATGAATATACCATTACATTTCTGCCATGTTGGGCCATAAAACCATATACATTGATTTCATGGGTCATGAAAATTCTAAGAAATCAGTTCCCTGGATAGAATCACACCCCGAAATATATAAAAATACTGTATAACATTAAGTGACTGCAACATTAAACCTCAGAATCTTTGGCCATGTTGTACCATGAAGGACACTCTTTGCTTTTAATGCTTTACAACTGCCATTTTTTTCACAAGAATGACACATTGTCAGTTTTCACATATAACTAACAAAAGCTTCACAGACCAACAAAGCCTCTTGAATTGATTACAGGCATTGACTAGAATAAAGTCAGTACCAGTGTCTGTCACGTAGTGACCAGTGATCACCTTAACAAAACTCTCTTTGGCTCAATTAGACTGTCTTTGAAGTTACAATCTTAAAAATTGCCTTGATGGTGTCTACTAAAATACGATGATATTATGGTTCTACAGCCAATTATCAATGTAGCAACTTCAACATTATAACATCACACTTGAACATGAATACAATTGTTCCTAAATTTGACACCAGACTAAACCGTTGCATGATTATTGTTAGATGTACAGTGTTTATATTAATAAAAAAGCAATGTAGATGATTTAAGTCCTTCTTATTCTATCATGCCTGAGTTGTACTCAGATTTCATGTCTAAACAATGGCGTGGTCTTGGTGTGTTCAAGGCGTCTTCAGTTCAATTAATTTTCCGTACCTTTGAGCTTGTCCAACATGAACAACGTCCACAACACGTTTTTCGTCGCAACTTTGATTTATAATGTGGTCCAGCATTTTCTTTCACAACTTAAAAAAACAGTGTTGAGTCTACCTATTGCATTTAACACTTCAAATGCGTTGGAATATTTGAATCAACGCTGAAAATAACCGCTCTTTCGACCCAAACGGTGAAGCACGTTCTCTATTAGCCGCCATGTTTGTTGTTCCCAGGCTTCCACGTGATTTTCGCACATGCGCGATTTGATTTACTTTGTCACGTGCGGCTTGTGAACCAATAGACAAGTGTGAAATGAACTTCCGTTGAATAGTTCAAATATTCAAGCGGACTTCAAAAGCGACAGAGTATGAATTTCATCCGATTTCTTCGAGTCGTTATATATTAGTCCCTCGGTAACTGAGAGGAGAAAACGACTTGAAGTAATCGGATGAAATTCAGGCTACTTACACGCATCACTTCTACGAAAGATTTCGGTGAATTTTTTGGGCACACGCAGCTGGTGAAGTTTATTTGAAAATATGTTTTACTGATTATTCTAGTTATATATAGACTACGAGTAGTCCCCCATTTTTCCTCAGGGATAGTAGAGCGAGCGAAACGCTAGCGCGCGTGAAAATCTCCCCACGCGAGAAAAAGCGACACGCGGCGGGAAGAGAGAAAAATGAGGGTCCCTCATTTTTCTCTCTCCCCGCCGCGTGTAGCCTTTTCTCGCGTGGGGTGATTTTCACGCCCGCTCGCGTTTCGCTCCCTCTACTATCCCTGAGGAAAAATGGGGGACTACTCGTAGTCTAAGATATATAAAGAGACAACTGCCTAATTTTTATGAATATTTTCACTGTAAGTTTACCACGCAGGTGGGTCTGCTCCGAAGTATCTTGTATATATAAGGTGACAACTTCGAGGTTACAAGGTGACAACTTCGAGAAGTCGTGCGATCGTCTACCAATGGGTAAAAAACAGCAATGTTCAATTTCGATTTCATTGTCGATTTTTGATTTGAGGTACAACGAGGTAAATTGTAATTCCTTGAAATTATATCCCTTCCTCTCTTCAAAACTTACCATGGCTTCACAGAACCTCGAATATGGAAGTTGGAAAGTATCACATTTCTTGAAGTACCCGACCGTGACAATCTGGACAGTTCTCTCTGTCTTAAAAATAAGGCATTTCATTATGCATTAATAGCTTGAAAAATTCGCTCAGTATATCAATTCAGTGCCAATCAAAAGGAATGAAACAAAACGAGCTCACTTCAAACCGTCAAACAAGCTCTTTTCAGAGGGTCTCAATGGGGTTAACCGATAGGCGTAAAACGACCAAAAATTTAGTCGATAGCCGTAAAAATTGACAAATTTTAACCATTAGTCGTAAATAGGGTCAAAAAGAGTTAACCGTAAAAGAAATTGTTCTCCAGAGTTGTTAATTTTAAGGAAGGTTCTAAACCCACTTATGGTTGCGTTATTTATTTCTCGGCTACTTTGACTCCGTACGCACGTTAGGCCAAGCGCTTTTTAGTTGTGACCTAGACCTAGACTCCAATTCCGCCACTCTCTGGGGGAACTAATTTTTTCCATAGCGAAACTCTGGCTTCTTGCTGGGGATTAAAATTTGCGATTTTCAGGAGGTCGTGCCTTCGAAATACCAGTGAAACTAAGAGATGTCACTGTTTGTAAAACACGTTGCCGATAAACAACAATCCCTGCAACAATTCCCTGTTTTTCTAGGACGCTACGGTACACATTGCCGCCTAGTCCCTGTACGGCGTCTTCCCACGCAATCTCAGTCAAGGCATTTCGGTAGCCTGTTCCAGGCGTTCAGATAGTGGGGAGCGGTGCGAAGTAAAAAGGAGCGCGAAAAAATAAAATTGAGGGAGGGGGAGAGGTGAGGGAGGGTTCCCTCACCTCTCTCCCCAGTTCCCCTCTACTTTTCATCGCTTTCTTTACTTCGCACCGCTCTCCACTATCTGAACGCTTGGAACAGGCTAGCATTTCGGTGGCGTATCTGAGAAAAAAAATCTCTCGGACCACGTGACCCAAAACGCATTAGCTGCGCGGAATAATGAGGCCTATGAACAAGCCAACGGCAAACAGTCGTTCTGTACAGTCCTTCGTTATCATTAAAAACATTGGACACGGGAATTTTTTCATTGGCTGATTTCAAACTAGAGCTGGAAATGGATTATAGAGGATCCGTATGAGACTAACCTTTGTACAGTCGCCCCCTCCCCTACAGACACCCCTTCTTCGATTTTTTTCTAAGGGGAGTGGGCGGCTATGCATAGGCTATCTGAAACGGATAATCTGAACGGATACACTGTCCGTCAAAATTGACGGTTAAAGTCAGGCGGATTGTTTATTCAAAATTAAAACCATTCCAGTTTCAAATTAAGACGTATTACCTATCTGACGCGAATTGTCAAACGTATAACCCATCTCACACGAATAATCCGTCTCTAGTATGAAAACGGCCATTTCTGTTATAAATGAATGTCGCGCCCTGGCCTTGAGTTGGGCGGTGGCGTGTCTGCTTTTGCTTTTTCCCAAAGACTATTTTTAAATTGACTATTGACATTTCTATGCGTAAAATAATATTAGAAATAGAATACTTTATAAAAAGTATGATCTATCAAATGTTAAAATTTTT